GTGAGTTTTCCAATACTACGAATCAACAACTTATTGACCTAATGGTGCGCAAACATTAAAACAATAAGGCCATGTTCTCTTTACCGTTTTCAAGCCGTTTTCTGTTTTCAATTTTCAAAAATGGTGAAAACGCTTCTCTTTCCTATTTCTGAAAACACATTTTTGAAAATGGAAAAAAAATTTATACACAAAACAGAAAACGTGGTTTTCCACGTTTTGTGAGTTTTCCACATAAATGAAGCCAAAACGCCAAAACGCGGCACTGTTCCAAAACAAGGGAAATGACCTCCAACCATCTTCCTCTTTCCCCTCTGCCTCTCTACCTCTTTCTCCTCTCTTCTTCTCTCAGAAAACTGAAAATCGAGCTGTTCCCCTCTCTTCTTCTCTCAGCTCGCAGGAAGATTTGCAGCCACGGCAGGTGGTGGTGTGGTTCCAGAATCGCCGAGCACGGTGGAAGACCAAACAACTCGAAAGGGATTATGATCAACTCAAGTCCGCATATGATTCTCTAGTGTCCAATTATGACTCCATTCTCGAAGATAATGAGAAACTGAAAGTTGAGGTAAAATCACATATTGATTGAAACTTTTGTGATTTTTTCTTTATTTTTTGCCGTGTTACATTGGGTGGCTCTTCTGAAGTCGTTTCATATACATATAATATTAAAAGTCATTTCATAATGTTATTCAATGCACTTTCAAAAATGTCCACCAGGTGTTTGATGAAATGTCCAAATGGTGGAAGCTTTTTTCTTGACAAAGTTTGACAGGGAGTTCTATTGGCCAGGAGAAGGTTCTTCTTCTATTTTAATTTACCTTTTTCCATTCCAAATTTTCGATAGGTTATTCTGGTGCAACTTTTATTATTATTGGAGGAATCTATGAATTGTGGTTGTTGCCTATAGGACGCTGTTAGTAAATAGATTAGAAGGATCCATTTTTTTTCTTTTTTCTACAATAGATTTAAGCTGAAAATGAGGACATTAACAGTATGCTCTTCAGTGGAGTTTTGCATTTATTCCTTGTGTAGGCAGATGTGAATTCACTATTTGGTTGCAAAGGCACGATGGCATCCTATAATTCTATATGGTTGCATGGAGTATATTTCTAAGATACTGATGGGTTGTGAAGCTTTTAGACGATTTCATTTTCAATTAAACTAAAGCGCCAGTTGATAGGGAATAAGAATGTGAATCAGAAACTCCAAGTTCAAATAGAAAACGCGTGCTTTCTTAGTGATAAGTGATGCAAATAGGTGCAGGGTATCTTGGTCGACTGGGCTGGTATCTTGGTCGAGGAGGAGGTTGAGCAACTGGGCTGGTATATTTGGTCGACATTAGATAATTAGTAATAAATATTCACCATGTTGATTGCTTTTATATTTCTGCTTGTAATCTGGTAATTTTAAGCCGAAAATCGCTATACATTCTTTATTTCCTTTTTCATGATTGATGCTTCTCTTGCAGGCTGGTGATTCTACTCCAGAGGAGTTGGCAATAGCTACTCAAGTCCAAGGTTCTTACATGCCAATTGTACGAAACTGTGGAGCTTGTTAAGGTCACAGAAGAGATGAAAGTCATAAGGCATATGATAAGCTGTGTTTAGAACGAACTAACAAGCGCCATGTTGGACTCAGGGC